GGGGGAGTTTACATAAGGTGTTGTGCAACTCGCGATCGATCGACTCGATAATTGTCCACGAAACGATAATTAGCGGCACGCGGCATCGCTTGTACAATGGCCGATCAGGCGCTACCAATACCAGTATCGATAATCATCCGGTAACCTGTTCTGTTGGCAATAGAGTTACCTTGATAGCATTGATCGATGCCCGGGCCACGGCTGATGTTGATCGACCTCTCGTAATAATTATCCAAGACTGACTGGTACAATGCGCACGTGACACTCGCATGATGTATGTAACGGTCATGTTAATATCCACGATAATCCCTCTTCGCCTGGACAAGTGTAATTGCCCGTTACGTTACGTTCGATTTCTCTTCTCCTCGGGAATCAGGGAGCCGAGAGGGGCCTCCTCCGTTCTCTTTCCCTCCGACTTTTCTCTCCTTTCCATCCTCCTTTGATCTACGTTTCCATAGAGAAGGAGCAGTGGTCGCGAAATATTCGTTTCGATCGATTCGGGTCGCCTCGCTTTACGAAATCGTTAATGTTACGTAATATCCTCGTTCCTTTTTATTCGCGACGCAATTATTTACCGAGAGTGTCTCTGGGAAGAAAGAAGAAGGGAGGAAAGGGAATTTTCATAACTGGAAGGAACGTACGTAACTGGCGAGGGCAGGACGATGCGCTTGGTCGGGCTTGAATCGCAAAGTTGGGCTGCTCCCGGATTGTTCGAGTCGACCATCCCCCCGACGCGGTGGTCGACGCTCGTTTAACACGACGCGCCGTTCGGTTTATCGTCAAATGAAACGGAAGAATTCAATTTAGATTCTCCCCGACCGTTCAACGCTGCCAGCTTTCGAGAATTGCGAGAAGGGAAGGAGGAGGGAAGGGGGGAGGGGAGAAAAGTCGCGGGGAGAAGATGTCCCGGAAAGTGTTTTCCGTCCTCGTCGAACGGAACACATAAATCTCGGCTGCCGGGATAAGAAATTCTGGACGACTGCTGGCGGTGGTTGATCGAATTTCACGCTCCCCCGACCTCGTCGCCTCCGCCACCGAATCCGTATTACCACGAGCGTATCCATTCAACCGCCCAGTCAAATTAAAAGCGGTTAAATAATCAGGGGATAGGGTGTTCGAGAAACGCGGAGCTAAATTATTTTCGCTTCCAAGACGGGACTTCCTCCTCCCCCTCCTCCATAAATCCTCCGATAGGAAAACTCGTCGAAACGAGATTCGATTTTGAAAGATTCGCGTTTAAACTCTTTGCTAAAAACGAGTCGTTGCAATATCTATTCCATCCGATCGAATATGAAGACGATGCACGAGGACGACTGGTTCTCATCGGTGACCGATCGAATTTCTCGCCGAGTTGGCGAGAATTTTTCGAAGAGGATATCGTTAAGATCGATGGAAGGGTAGCGACGTACGCACGGGGTAGAAAACGGCGGAGAGCGTGGTGGAAGAGGCACAACAATGGATCTCTTCAACTATCCCGGGGTGGGCACTCGACGTCGCAAACAAGCCTCTTGGCGGGGTTGGCGGCCAACGACGAGGCGAGCGAGCGACAATAAATTCCGCGAATATAAGCAGCCGAACGAATTACACCGCCGCGGCTCGTTCAAATTCTCCTTTCCCCTCCAACGGCCGACTTACCGATCCGAGGAGGAGGGTGAGAACAGAGGAGGAGAGGAGGAAGAAGCCCGTCCTGCGCACGACGACCGCAGCTGCTCTGCCGCGNCATCGGCCACGCGAGCTTTTTCGATGACCTGCACGAAGCCGAGTGGAGCGAGGGTCAGCCTCTGGAATACCGTCTGGACAAATAGGGGGAAATTCGTTGGGGTAATTCCGAACAGCTGGCCAATGCCTGACCAGATTGCCTTTTGTGTTTGTCTAATACCCTTACGCGGACCAACGCTCCGAATCCGATAACTTTTCCACCGCTATTTTTCCACCAGCAGAGGAGAGTGTGGCAAATTTAATCCTGGGAATCTGGTATATATAGCTCGAAATAAAATATCTATTTCCCCTCTATATATATATATATATATGTATCCATATGAAATTGGCCATCTATTACGAGATGGAAAATTCGTTCTCGTCTCCATCCCCGATTTAAATATTCTCGAAAGGGTTGGAAAGAGCGAGGAACGAGGGACGAGAGGATGGAACGAGTCGATGGAAGCTAGGATCGCCAGCATCGCTCCATGAAAACGTTTCTCTATCGAGGCTCGGGGAAATTGGGGAGAGGAACAGGCATGCGACCGCAAAAGCGGCACGCTGACGTGATTACGTAAATGCCTGGCCTGCATATGTGTGTGCGTATATATACATATATATATATATATATATATAGCTCTCTCTGTTATTTGCCTCTCCGTCACGTTCCGAATAAAAACAGAGGAAGAGAGAGAGAAAGTTGTTTTTTCGTACGTGATACAGCGGTTCGAAAAGAAGCGGGAACAACTCGGCGATGGAAAATAAAATGTTTACGCTTTCTGCTCGGTCTGATGGCATCGATCGAGTGCGTGCGCGGCGAAATGGGGGCAAACGAAGCGTGAAAATATCCGAAAATTCGGGGCCGATAGGATGTCTGGAAATTACGAAAGACGAAATGGAAAAGCACGACGAGTGCGACGAACGAAGAAAATTGCAATAAACGGGGTTGGACGCGTGCCAANCATCGGCTCGGCCTTTACCGTTCGATCCAGGGGACACCAAGAAATAATGCCAAAACCGTATCCGTAATCGTTGCTCCGATTCACGTCCATTCTCTTGCGAATATTTTCGTCGAATAAGGAAAGGGGCTGCATCCCGCGCGAGTCGAAGCCACTCTCGATCTCGAGAACGATTCGAAGAGGCGACGAGATCCTCGTTATTCGATTAATTTGCTCTCGATTCCAGGACGAGGGAAAATTCGCGGTATCGAATATTCCCTCGGTTCATTAAACGCGCCCTGCCTGTAAATTCGATTAACGGCAACCAAGTTTTTCGGTCGATCGGTGGAACGGTGGCGGCTGGTAGACGGTTAATTAAGAATGTCATCGGGGGAAGGAAATTCCCTTGGATGGAAAAGTGGTCGTCTCTCCGGTCTTCTCGTCTAATCGATAATTCGAAGGTACACCTTCCTAATACACCGTCCGCGATGATCCTCGCCCGAACGAAGGAACGAAGAGAGAGACAGCATTAACCTGTATCGATCTAATTATTACACCGGTAATAAGAGAGCGGGAGGAGAAAACGGAGGGATGGAAAGGAGAGGAGAGGAAGGGGCAGTGGCAGGCTCTCGAGTTTCCCGCGATTGCGTCAAGTCAGCGGGAAAGTTTGGGAGCCGTGGCGCCTCGAGTAACGTCATCCCATCATCTCTCTCGATATATATATATATATATATTCTTGGCGCTCGGTACACGATGTTACGCGCACCAAGGATCTCTGTACAACGATACCGAAGCCTTGGGGGGACCAGTTACCGCTTCGACGCGCTCTCCTTTCCTCGGGTTATCGCATTACTAATGGTCGACGTGGTAATGGCTTCAGACACCCGATAGCTTTTCCACCACGGTCGTGACGTCAACGCTCCAGGTTCCATCGCAACGCATCCACGTCGCATCGTCCCATCGAACGCATCGACAAATTTTTCCTCGATTCAATTTTCCTCTCGCCGTAATTGCGTCGTTGGGGAAAACAACGGTTAATTGGCGTAATTTTTCCAACGCCACGCTTTTCGATATTTGATATTCGGAATGGTTTCAACGAGTGGCGAATAAAAGAAGAATATCGAAAAGAGGGGAAGAAATAAGGAGAATCCACTTTGCGTTTCCTCTCTTTCTCTCTCTCTCTTTATATCTACTCGAGATAATCTCCAGGAACGTACGATCTCGCTAATGTGTCCTCGCTCGACGAGTTGATGCGCGATTCGAGGAATAATCCGTTCGTGGACGCGAGTTGAAAACGAGCGGCCCTCGTAAATTGAGCGGACCGTTTCCGATTCTTCCCAGCTCCACGCTTGAAAATATACCCCAGGATCCTCTTCCATCCTCTCCTCGCGCGTGTTGCTTTCGTGCACGAGGAGGAGGAGGAGGAGGAGGAGGAGAGAGGATTGAACGACGCGGACCGATCACTTGGACGTTGGCTCCTCTCTCTCCCTCTCTCTCCCTCTCTCGAAAGATAAATCGCGTGGGCGGGCGAGCCGTCGAAGAAGCTAACGGCGTAACAGCTACTCGGGAATATAGTTGGCGTGGCAGCCCATTCGTAACGCGATATATCAACCGCGGTGGAAAGTTTGGCTCGGGGAAACGAAGGATATAGAAGTAAGTAAGAGGTCGAAAGGAGACCCCCTCTCTCTCCTTCGATCTTTCCCCGATAATGAGTAAACTTCTTCGGGAAATCGTGCGTCGGATCGACTTAGAAAGCGAACTGGGCAACGTTCTTTATCGCGCGCTCTTTTAAATCGCGGCTGGAACTTGGGATTTTCGTGAATCTCGTGGAAATAGAAATAAAAACGTAGAAGAAGAAACAGGTTTTCCCGTAAGAAATTGTCTTTAGAATATCATTTTTTCTCACGGATATATATTCAAAATCTGGTGGAGGGATAGAGAGAGTTGCCTCCGTTGATGGAAAGGAACGTAAGTAACGAAAAGTCAGTTAAGGAACGGGGTTAATTTTGGAAAGGAAACTTGAAAAAATCTCTGTGAGAAATCGGGAGTAAAGTTGCACCTCTCGGGAAGGGGTGAGTATTCCCCTCCCGACGAATGTTGGAAGGTGATCGATCGATGAACGATAAAACGAGGAAGGGAAGGATGAGGGAATATTTTCAAGGGACTTTCACCCCTCTCGATTAACCGATTCGCCAATCGGTTATTACCCCCAACGTCCCAGGGAATTTATAAAACGCGGAAGCCTCTTGTCGGAAACTACCTCCCCCCCTCGCCCACTCTGATAATACGGATCCGTTCTCATTAGAAGCATCCCGCGCACGGCACTCGTGATCGCAAAAAAAAAGGCAATATCCATGGATCTCTCCCTTCGATAATTAGCATTTCGCGTGTTCGCAGAGATCCGATTTCGTTCGAATCGATAGCGAGTCGCGACTTGTCCCTCTCTCACGTGTGCAAAACGTGTGCAACTCCTCCTTTCTTCCGTTAATTTTCACCTCCTTTCTTCAACATCCTCCCCTCATCGTCCATTGTCCTCTTTATACGGATCTTTCTGCCAGC